GGTGTATATAAAATGGAATTGTTTTAAGACATGAACAAAATTTTAAACAAAATAACAAAATATTCTTCTTACATTCATGACAAATTATCATGATAGAATTTCATTATGAATTGATTGGATTGGATTGAATTTCTTTGATGTGATAAAAACCAAGGATAACCCACAAAAGTCCGAGACTTTCCAGTGGGCCTGTTCTTTTCCAAAAAATGAGTGTACTGTGTTCTCTAAAGTGCACATGGGCCATTTTGCACACAGGACCAATGGCTTAAACGTCTCATCCGAAACTTGCATTTCAATTCTCCAGCTGAAACACAAGGAGACCAGCGAAGAGAATTGAACCAGGGACCAAGAGATATCCACGGTTCAACATACACCCAGTGGCTATACCACCACTTAAGCTGACTGAGCTAGCTACTCTCGCGAGGGTGCTAGGAAGACTGATTCTAGCATTATAAAGTTTATGCAATTTATGTAAACAGTACAACCGTAATCTATAAGACAATTCTCAAGAATTCCTCTATATGGTAAAACAGAACTATTAATACTTGGAAACAAACAGCATATCAGAAAAAATTACTATATTATATTGCAATGCATTGTGGGCATAGATTTAGTATCAGGATTTTAAACGTATTTTGTTCATTGACTGAGCGAACAATGGTCGAATGCAGCCATCCAGCGACTGATAGGCATTTTTATCATTCTGTAAAAATGGCAAAATCAATTATGTTCATCAGAAATATAGTGTAAATAAAAGTCTATTGACACTTGCATGGTTTTGATTCTGTCTGTGATAAATATGTAGAAAGTACTGTAGCAGTTTTGTTGTGTAGTCCTTCCATTTATCGTTGCCTTGTTAGCCTACATATATAAATTTCTCTTCTTCCCTCCATATTATAGTTTTTAATGAGTACCCCATAACTTACTCTAAAATGTTATCTTATACCCAGAGAACATTATTAAGGATTCTGATAAATTAGGAAAGGGACAATGATGATGATAGTGACGTTGATGATGATGATATGATAATGGCGATGATGGTGATTTATAAATAAGTATAATTACAATTACAATGTACCGTATTTATGTATTTTTCCATATAACTTCAACATTTGTTTAATTTAATAGTTTTTAATTTAAACCACGTCTTAAAGTACAATGCTTGACTACAAACATTAACAGTGAATTAAAGGCATGGAAGAAAAAGCAAGTGGAATAGTAACAGAAGTGGAATTTGACAAAGAAAGAAAATACTCACCTTCACCGGGAGTCGAGCCCGGGACCTTTCGCATACATTGCAACCGTCATAACCACTTTACCACGAAGGTATAGTGAGTCAAGCGCCGGTAGAATCTACGTTCCTTTCGTTCTTTTAACTGCCAGAGATTTATAAGATACGCCCTCCTGTGTGCATTATTTTCAGCTTGCTGGATCTCGAAAGAGATACTTGTACACTGTATACACAAAATTATTTGAAGACGTGGGAAAAAACAGAAACAGCAAGTGGAATAATGCAATGAATAATGTAAATTGAAACGTAACAGAAGGGGAATCTGAAAAAGAAAGAAAAAAACTCAGCCTCGCAGGTCGCACCTTCGAATCCAGTCAGCAGAGGCATTTTATTACACTATTTATAGGACAACATTCCTTGACAGCTATGCTACACGATGTATTATCATGTCCTTTATTCGAACACTGTATTTAACTTTCTTTGATCATTTATATATAATTTAACAATGTTACCGGCTATCTTGATTTATATGATGATTTTAAATATGTATAAATCAAATAGATAATGATGCAGTGCTCAAATATATATCAGTGCTCAAATATATATATCAATCGTATGAAACACATCAACGAAAGTTCCTTATTATAGTTGTACGAAAAAAGATCTCTGGGGAAATCGAACCAGCAATGCGGGTTTACTTCGGGTTCAATGAACAAGTGACGAACACACTTTCAAGAAGCATTAAAAGCTTGTTGTGGACCGAAAATGCATTTATACAGTACAAAAGTTCAACCATAAAAAATTATTTCATCTGTGTCTCGTAAAATGAGAATTGAACCCCTTTCATTTGGCATTGTTTTCTCTGTAGCCTAGTATTTAATTCAAGATTATGCGGTTAAATCTGCTTCTACACTAACGGAAAAGATAGAACTCATGAATACTAATAAGTTCCTCAAAACTGATGAACCAAGCAAGTGATAGAAAAAACACGATTTTACCTAAACTGAATCTTAATACTGTAATAGTGTATCATTTCAGTGTTTATGCTAATTGTGATTTTCGTCGGATATTTCAAAGATGTGACATATTTGGAAATTTTAAACCTGCACCGCTCGTGCACTTCAGTGGCGGATCCTGGAAGCCGATGTAGAGGTGGCCCTGGGAGGTACTTTCACAGATGAAGGGTCTAGACCTGGACCACAATAACCCCACCCTGAGAAAAAAATATGATTGTGGCACTTCTAGATTGCCGGAAATCGCACTTTCAGACTAGAAATTTGATTTAAATTTTCTTACTGCTTTTTAACTACCGTAGTTTTTGTTCCAGTTAACCGTTTAATAATAATTAATTATCGAAGTACTGTAAGGAGGCGTCTTCCGTTAATAGTTCCCTATACTGTAATATAACCATGGAGGAAGTTTAGATGGATGAACAAACTTTTTTCCGTGCCAGCAGGTTGTCGATCATCTGTAGGGAACTACTTAATTCCCGGAAGTATACGCGGCTCTCATTGGCTCTTCTGCTTTTCCTGTTTTATATTGAATTCAGATAAGGTCACAATTACTCCGCCCGTGTTTCCTTCAGTAGTAGAATAGTACGCTGTCCACTACAAGAACATTAGAAGACACAGGAGAAATGTTTGCAACTGATTTAATCTTCAGCTTATGTTTTTTGACATTTTTACAGAACTGTCTTGGGAATCCGTAAGTTACTTTTTATGATAGAGCTAGTATCATCTCTGCTTGAATATTTTACAATGTGATGTTTTCACAGAGATGGTGCATAAAGATAGGCCTATACTTCTATAGTTTATAGGGTACTGAAATCTACAGATGTGATCTGAGATAATACTTGTAAGAAGATTTTAGTTCTGGTCAGTGGTGGTTTACATAATTTGCCAACAGACCGGAGGATCCAACAAGTTTTAAAAAAAAAAGGGGCCGAGCTTATGGCTTGATAAATGAAATTTTTCGGTACCCATTACTGATAAAGCAAACACCGATCACAAATAGCGATAATAAAATATATAAGGCCAGTAATATTTTTATTTCTATCTTTAATTATATTACATCTCTATTCATTTGTAAACTTTTTTCCAGACCGTCGTACCTAATTACAAGCCCAGATGTCTTGCGTGTTGGAACCGAGGAAACGGCCTTGGTGAACGTCTTTAACACTGCTGAAGACACGGTATCTGTACAGATTTATATAGAAAATTACCCGAATCGAGAGAATCGTTTTTCAGAAGTTACTGTGGATGTTACCGCGGGTAAGTTTGGTTTTAAGGAGATCTGATCAAGTGAAATATTATTTAGTAGCGTTTTGACTCAGACTAAGAGACTTAAAGGTTAATCCTTTCTCAGCAGCTAGGGGCTAAAAGAAGTTTCAACAATCTTTTCTTCACGACGGTCTTAATTCAAAGTCAGTGCTTTAATGTTTGTTTTTTTCTATAACGAGGAGACAGCAAGCAGTTTAGGAATTTCGATGATCTTTGATCTACAGCGTTCGTCCTAGGCGCCAAGAATGCTAGGCCTACCGTAATGCATAAAGTCTCTTGCTGAGTCTGAGTAAAAATTTTGGTTATGAGAAGATTCCAACTTTTTTGCCAAAGCTGAAACCAATTATAATTTGAAGTACGAACATTAAAGATGAGTTCTACTCTTCTTGGCACTTTTTATTAGATACATTTAAAACTCAACAAGGAAGTAAGACAGTATACCGTATTACAAAATAAACCTGAAAACTTTAATGTAAGCATTGAAACTATCGAAATGATTCAAAGAACAGATGTGCTAAGATTGAAACCATCTGTATATAAGTGTAGGAATTGCATTTTTTTTTATTGCTATACTGTCCGTGTTAGATGAATTACATTTACCATGTGCACAGAAGAGAAAATTTGTCTTCCATTTAAGATATTTCATCGTGTCTGGCAATCTGTAGATCTACTTTTACTCATACTATAAACAAAAATAAAGAAAAGAACTAAATATTAAATGCTAGTAAAGATGTAGGAAAATGTTATAGCACATGAGCCTTCACTTATAGATTTGGTTCTCAACAGAAACTCCTACACTGTTTGTTTGCTTGCCAACTTCTACATCCTGTGACCTACTGTAACCTTTGGTTCTTCAATCACGACCTACCAGGGATTTGTTTATTGGCTCATACGGTATTATACGATCAAATAACTTTAACATTCAAAGAGACACAGCTTGTAACAATTCAGTTTTCACTTATTTACAGCCCTTTACTAGGAAATCAATATGGAAAACTGTACTACTTCCGCTTCTGGTAATTGACGATCGAGGAAAATCTTTCAGTTGAAAGTTAAAATAACATGAAATAACTTAATATACAAAGTATGTGATATCAAATATTGCTTTTTGGTTGAAAAATATCTTATTAACACATTGTAGACTAATTTTATCTGCTGTAACTTGAATTTGTCTAATAATGAAGGTTAGGGTTGGAGTGCGCCCTCACTAATTATAGTATACTAAAATAATATAAAAAGTCTTTCAAAAGCGTCGAGTAATTGGTTTTCACATTGCTGTATATTAATTTAGATTCTTTTAGAGTTTGCTCTAACAACGCACTAAGAATACTTCTAGGAAAATCAAGGTCGTGTAGTGCCAAAGAAATGTTTGTCTCTTGTAGTGTCCCATCATTTTATGAATATATTAGAAAATCAGTACATGGATTTATGTACCGACTTTATTTATCGCAAAACAGTCTGATAAAGTCCACTGTTAATAATCTTAAATTGAAAATTCAAAGATGATATTAAAATGGAATTATTTATTACAAAGATAATTATTATTGAAACCATTGAAATATGCATGCCCATTTTTTGTTTTGTTGCATTTGCGAGTTTATGTAAGCCTGAGACAAATGCCTCAATGTATACATATACATTTTTCTCTATTTCAGTCTCATTTGCTTTGTTTTTGTTTTGATATGGACATTGCCTGAAATAAAGAGAAATTGAAATTGAATTGAATTGAATGGACTTTACTGCAGTGTAAATAAAATGTAAAAACTGACCAATTTCAGTGGTCATGATTACGCTGTTGTCCCACAAACCCATATGTCCCAAAAATCACGTGTATGTGTATGTTTATGCCATCATTTTGTGGAACCTTGGGAACAATATCAAAGATTTAGGGCTTAGCGGAAATTTTCAATTAACTTAACAACTGTGTTATGAAAATAAAATTAAGAGTGTATTTTGAAATCGTAACATCATAAACATAAAATCAAAATTTGTAAAGTGTAATCACAACATCAACTTCATAAAGAAAAAAAAATCCAAGTATTTATTCCAGTGCTTCAGTTAGGCATCTATATAATAGCATGTAGGAAAAACACAGCTACCTTTAGAGGAACTGTTGATTGATCAAAAGGTTACTTCAGTTAAAGGTTATAGGCGAGAAGCTTGTATTCACACACCCAAAAGAAAATTTCAAACAAACCAATAGAATTATTGTGACATGAAAAGAAAGTACGGTAAACCCTACACAACTGAAATAAGTCTAAGAATTCAATTCATGAGAAAAGGAAAAAGGTACAGGCCCAGGAAGAAAAAATCATCTTTTGACGAGTCAGCCTGAAACAAAAAAACAAAAAAAAAACAAAAAAAAACAAGAGAAAACAAGAGGGAGATACGAAAAACAAACAGAAAGGAACTTTGGAGGACATGGACAAAACCGGACAAAGAAGACACGCGCACAAAAAAAAAGCAACAGTTAAAATTGCACCAAGACACCGAACATCATTTAGTGAAGAAAGAAAAAGGATAATAAGCAAGTTAACTATATTAAACTAGAAATAATGTGTTTCTTGAGCTGGATAGAAATGAGTTTTTATTGATGGAATCGACAACCAGGGGAGGTAGAGAATTCCATAGTTTAGGGCCAGTAAATCTAATAATATTATGTTGAAAATAGTGTGTTTTATGATTAGGGATGTATACATCATCTCTACTTCGAGTACAATAATTGTGTAGAGAGGAATTAAGATTTGAAGATATCACAGAAGTACTTTGGTAAAAAGTGGTTGAGTAAAGAGGGTAACTCGAGATACACAGATACCAGACCAAATGGAAACCATATTTCATTAAATGGCTAAATTAAACAATTAATCATATCGCAAATCAATTGGAAAACCAGTAAGCCTATTAATAAGCATTAACAGCTATATTAACCCACTGTTCCCTGATTAACCATAGTTTAAGGACTTTTTGGATAATAATGGTTTTATACGGTCTTAGAATTATGTTGCAGGTACAATACTGGCACCGTGGACATGGTGTAAAAACTGTTTAGGAAATTGAGGGCTCCTATTAAGTTGCCAAATTTTAGTTTGTTTTCATAACAAACGTTATTAAAATGTATACTACACTATTATGATCAAAAACAGTTTTGAATTTTTTCGTTTATTTTATTATTAATTTTTTTATCGTGTACTGTATTGAGTTTTACGAAATAAAACTTTAGTTTAATACTTTTTTTTTATTTCAGATTCTCCAAAGATTGTGAAACTTCGTATCAATCCAGATGACATTGTACCAACCAATTCAGAATTAAAGTTTGTGTATTTAGTGGCCAAGTCTCAATCCCCAGCACTCACTTTTGTAAAGGAAAAACGAGTCTTAATTACATACAGACAAGGATATGTATTTATACAAACGGACAAACCATTATATACACCTGAACAGCAAGGTAATTCATCCAAAGGCCTGTCCAAACTATCAAATTTTATTTGACAAAAACATATGCCATGCCTAAATATGGTCATGATGACATCACACTATGACCATTTTTTGTCAAAGAAAATTTGATAGTCTGCACGGAACTTAAAATATTATAATTAATTTGTTTGAACCTGCCAGAATATTTATGGTTACATACCGTAATTCTCTTATAACTAAGCGTAAACTTCAAAATTTCGATTTGTTGTTGGTCTAAGATGCATGCAGTAATCCAGTGCTAAATTTATGACTATGAGATTGAAAGGTGGCCATCTCCAGAATACCATTAAAATATGGATTTATTTGAAATTAGTCTTTTCTAAATAAGGTAATCCCAAATTTCCGATTTTTCTATAATTTGTTAGACAATTTATGATCTTCATAGCGATCATTAATTTCTTATCCTACTGTTAAATTGGATCGGATTTTAGTTATTTATATGCCACTGGTTATATTTGACAATGATTGGCACGTGTCTCTGAATATATCGTACTGTGAGTGCTTTCACTGATGTCTATTGATTCGGTAATAGGTAGCAGGACACCACTAATAAGTATATAATTAACTATTAATTGCTGATTGAATTACTTATATTTTTTTAATGTATTGTCGATGTTAAATATAAATTGTTTTGCTTATTAGAAGACTGCAGGTGGATCCATTATTGTATTTGCTTTCCTATAAAATGCACCAATTGAACAACTTGCACATTCACCAGTTTAAAGGAACTTTATCATTTTATCTTGTTGTTCATAACAGTTATGATACGAATCATTCCTTTGGATATGCAAATGTTACCATCCACTGACAAGGTGAGCACTGATTATTATCATTATGTCGTCATCATCATCATTATTATCATCACCATCATCATTGTCGTCATTATCATCATCATCTTGCTCAATTAACAGTGGTTGTATTAATAAACTGTTCCAATGACCTGTGTATGTAATGAGCACTAATTATTTATTGATATTATTATTATTATTATTATTATTATTATTATTATTATTATTATTATGAATATATCCTTACCTTTTAAATTTTTAATTTCTATATCTCTTTATTGATTGTCTATGTACTGTACATTCAAAATTTTGTCATTTAATTTAATGTTATTGTATGTGTTGCTGGGACCTGGAGGATAACAATGCTTTTGAACTGATCAGGTCATCCAATGTAAAGAAGAAATAAATAAAATAAAAAAATACTATAATCATTAACCGTGGATGTTTAAAATTCTTCATTTATCTGATTAGTTCCGTCTTGAAATTATTAACGGTAACGGGAATATTGTGGAAAAGCTTGATGATCTGCAAACCGAGCAAACAGGTTCTGGCTTCTACTCTTATCCGTACCAGTTTCCCAAATTCCCAGTATTTGGCAACTGGACAGTAAAGGTTTCCTACGGTTATTTGGTAAGTACAGTATAACCACGGAGGAATTGGCCCATTTGCCATTCACAATAACCAACAGGGCAATTTTGATTGACAAGAGTCAGCACTCCGACAACGGTCAAACTGATGACGATGATGATTACGACGACGATGGTGACGGTGGCGAGAATGATGATAATGCCAATGAAGCAGTGTCAGGAAGCTCTGG